CAGGCTCTCGGGTGAAACTGAAAGTGAAACTGTCTGCTGAGCTCCACTACTGCTCACTCAGTGAAGCTCTTTTCAGATTCAAAGTACCTTTGAGAAAATGTATTTTCAGATGCCAAGTAAACTGCATCACGCCGCCCACTTGCACCGAAATGGGCGAGACAGAAGCAGAAGGTGGTTCTTAAAGGGACAGAGGCCAATTTCAAGGCGTTTAGAAGAGGAAGTGATGAGAAGATAAGTTTATTTTCTATTTAAACATAAAAACAACATTTTAATAACAGCTAAAGGTGACATAGATACTTTATTATGGTATAGTATTTAAATACATGCCTGAGAAACACATAATATTGGCCCTTTAAAACACGGGGCTTACCTTGTAGATTTCCACGGTATCGGGGTTCTCGAGGAGGAGCAGCTTGCTCTTTGCTCTGATCAGGCTGGCGATGGACTGGATCATTTTAGCGTCTCTGGGCTGAGCTGGGATCTGTTCTGACAACAATAAAGATCCCTCAGAGACTGGAGGATGATTTTAATCAGCTTTGCCATTATGATCATTTACAGGCGTGATAATGTGCGCTCACAGGAGTGTCTCTGTCTCCGGCAGCAGCTGCTCTGTAAAATGGATCCTGGAGACGAGTCCTGCTGTTTCTCCTCATTCTTCTCATCGACGCCCCCTGATATGACTCCATCAGGACTGAGTTTCAGGCCCAGACAGAAACACCAGCTGGTAATAGTGTTTGACTTTCTTTTTTTTATTATTTACTCCTTAAAGAGTTGTAGAAATCACAAAGTCTTAAAGTACTGCTTCTGTAAAAAGAAGAGAGAAAAGTCTCAGGACCAGATTAATCATAATCCAAAACGAAATGAGAGATTCAGGAGTTCTGAACCCGATTATTATATTAAAAACTTTCATCCTCCTTGTGATCGGAGCTGTAAAGTGCAACACCAAAGAGATTATTCTGTACTTGTGAGTGGGGGAAACTCCTGCAGGAGGGGAAAGGAAAGGGTTTTTTATAATCACAGCGAGTGGGGATGTGGAATATAACTCAGTCAGGCAGGAGGATACGAAGTCATGAGATTATAATTTGCAGGTGAAAATGGATTTCTTTTTCTCACTTGAGCTGCAGGGTTGCTGTGATCCTGCTGCTCAGCGAGTCCCAAAAACCTGTTTCGGCTGGGAGCTCGTTTCCTATTTTAGAGCCTATAATGTGTGAAAAAGAAAACTCCCCTCACCCCACAAAGGAAACCATATTGAGATGACTTTGTGTTTCCACCGCCGACTAACAAGCTCCATTGTTTATTGTGCAGCACCTGAAACCCAATTGCTGCATGTTTCTGCAGAGCAGGCACATGGGGTGCCGTTTGTAAAGTTACACAGTCAAAAATTACCACCAATATTTTTGTTTTATTTAGCCTTTTATAAGAAAAAAAGAACAGATTAATTTTTCAAAGCCAGTTTTTCACCATATGATTCATACATTTATAAATGTCATAGTTT